TATGGGTCGTGAAGTATAAATCGTTGAACGAATTGGTCGAATACCTTATAGTACATAAACTAGGCCATTCCGGAGAAATTTAAATTATAGCCAGAAACAACCTTTCCGTACGACCTAATATATGCCAAACACTACTCACAGGCCATTGAATATGATTAGTGAACACAAAAGTATTGGCCATTCATTCGATGCATTCATTTGACCGTTGAGTCCGAAGTACTTGTTTTGACACATAATACCTCCCGAGGAAGGGATCACTTGTTATATTTGGTGACATTATAGCCATCGTATCGGCGGATCATTTGCCGAGTAGACAACATTGAGGGTGCGATGGAAGCGATCGCAAGGTATGACTTCAACAGCACCGCCGATGACGAGCTTAGCTTAAGGTGTGCGCCGATTGGGCCACCAATTGATTGATTGTCACATTGTTTGACACGAATGTCTGTGCAATGGACAGGTGCTCGACATGGAGGACACCAATTGGTTTAGAGATGAGTTGGCCGGGAGGGACTCATACCCAGCAATCGTATCGAAATGAAAGCTCACGACTGGTATTACGGGTGTATAACGCGAGCGGATGCCGAGAAACTGTTGCTTAATCAACACGAGGGAGCCTTTCTAATCAGGGTCAGCGAGTGCTACCTTGGTGACTTCTCACTATCCGTCAAGTAATGATATACACATGGTGCTGGTATTTACCCCCGGGTGTAACACTCCCTGTGGTCCTTATATATCTGTTTGATTACAAGTAAATTGAGCGGTTCCTAAGATACCGGTCCCCCAACGGATTAGTTTGTATTGAGTTTGTGACCTATTGTTATACACCCGGAGTAATGGCTATTTGTTGTACTGATAATGATTGATAATGTATGACGTGTCTGTGCCTAAAACCCAATACGTCTAAACCCTAAAAGGCCTACACTCAAATAACTAACTGACCAGTGGACTTATTTTAAATTTGATTAGTATAATAGACATGTTCTAACTTACTCTAACGTATCCTAACCTAAATTAAGTCAAATGATCATTGGTCAGTTAGTTAATCAAGTTTAGGCATTTGGGTTTTAGGCCTTTTTGGGTGAGCCCCGTTTGTGATCCCTTTCCATGACATACCCCGACAGGTGCGGCGGTGGTGTGCAGCACTACAAGGTGTTGAGAGATCCGATCGGGAAGTACTACTTATGGGTCGTGAAGTATAAATCGTTGAACGAATTGGTCGAATACCTTATAGTACATAAACTAGGCCATTTCCCGTGGAGTGGCGCCACTTAAGTCTATAGTGAAAGCAAACAATGTTTAACTGAATACCGGAGCGATTAGCAATACAGCACACTGTAGAGCTCGCATGGCCTTTCACGTGACCCGCAGTATTGGAGATTTGATTAAGAAATATAAGTCAGCATTGATGTACACGTGTGCATACATTTGTGTGCATCGCTTAGTTTGCATTCAATACATAGGCAGTCAATACTGTTGTCGATATGTTTTGTTTACAAAACTATGTGGCCCTCAGTTGGCCCACACACTCATCTAAGTTGTAGAGTACATAGGTTTAGGCACATACAGTGCAATTTGAACGGTATTTGAGTGAACATATCACCGCTTGGTTTCAAACCACATTCCCTTAGAGTCTAACGCAAACAGTGCATTAAAGTGAAGCCAGTCGTCGTCCCCTTTCTGTAAACTAAAGTATTTTAAGATTAAACTCACGCGAAGACATGTTTTCATAAACAATTATAATAGCTAGGTATAATTACATAGAAATTATGTTCTTTAAAATGAACTATGATACATTACAATCTTCCAAGATATTCTCGTACAAATAACATTTGAAAATGAGAAATTTTAATAAAAGTCTGGAAAATAAAATTTTCATACAGCAATTACAGTATAATCAATAGTAGTTAGTTAGGTTAAATTTTGAAGTACAGTTTCAATGCAATCAATAGTCGGATAGAGTTTTGTGCCAAACATGGACTCAACGGACGGCTAATGCGAGCCATTGTTGAACACAACGCTATCACACGAACCACTCATACGTTGAATCAGTTTTTCTCGAAACATGTTTTCATTGTATATTTTATGGCTATACCGAGCTATCTATTAATGATATATTCATCGCAGAATCGACAGTCAAATCAATTGTTTAAATTCTGGGCTTTGTTTTAAAAATAATATTATTTGAGTATCATGATTTTTATACTAAAGTATGAAACATACCCTATATATAAACTGACATTATACTAAACTGACATTAAATTTAACAAAAGAATTTTCTCCAGGATAATTAATCTGAATTATTGCAAATCTCCAGTTGTAAAATATTTGGCATTGGCAACAATCATTATAATATAATATAGGGTTATTCATATCTAGTCTAAACAATACATTGACACCAATTGAGTTTTGTATTGTATTTGAAAAGGATTTTATATATTAAACATTTCCAGTATTGAAATCGTTGTGAAAACACTAAAAGACAATTCAAACGAAAAAATAAATTAATTGTATGTTTAATAGAAAACCTCATGAAATGAATATAAACCTGAAATGTATGAGTAATACAGTATTATTAATACTGATTCCGATAGCAATATCTTTGGTTGTGTGCCATTTGGGCTAATATTTGTTTTGTGACTTTCAATGCCTAACACGACATCCAAGACGTCGACGAAATAAAATAATTGCCATTTAATTATCATTTATAGCGTATAAAATAGATGAGTATATCATTTATATAATTAGTATTATGAGAAGTATATTACAAAATGCCGGTTAATAAAGACGATTACAATGTACTGTATGGCCACCGGCTGCTGATATAGAAAGCATCCAGCTCATTAGCTCGACCATAATCCAAAATCTCACCCTGTTACAATAATTACAAGTCAGTTAACTCGTATGGATAGATAAATATCAATTTAAAATAGTTATATTAATCTAGATCGAAAGTATAACTGTGATAGCCATTGAAGTCGATAACTAGATAAATTAGTGCGGGACAAGGTGGTTTAATTTTATAATTTATTATTTATATGACATTTGTAGTAATTAAAAAATTGATTAGTTTTTTGAATTTATTTATTAATAAAAAATTATTTAAACTCAATAATTTTATATATGAAATAATTTTATTATAATTTTAAAAAAATGTCGACAACTGTGAATATTTTCACAATCATTACATCTACTTGCTAATATTTATTTTAAAAATAAGTGTGCGATATAATTTAGGACATATAACGGTATATTGCCGACTGTTAATATTGATTAAATAATTAAATCTACGGTACTGTACATTACATACTGCATATACAATAATGCAGCAGTCATATTTTAACGGTTTGATATTTTTGATAATTGCAAACTCACATTCAAACTTTATAATGATTTTCAAAACAATTCGTGAAATTCAATTGAAATTCATTTTTTATATGAAAACTATAAAATAATTTATAATTTATAATTTATTAGCGTACATACTAGCTCAGTATATCATTATTTCATATTATTTCATAATAATATTTTTGCATGCTTTTATTATAAGTATAATTTTAATTAGTATGAAAACTATATTTAAAATGCCAATTTAATATTTTAATATTATTCACATTGATTTGCCATTATACTGTATATTGATTTTCAATTAGATAGAGCAACAATATAAACTCAGTTGATAATGTACTTTTATATTGGATAACTACTAAAATACTAGTGCAGTATTATCTGTTGAATAATTAATGTAAAATATATATATAATTACTAGTATAATAGTAATATTATAAAAACTTTAAAATGAATGCAAATCATTATTTCCACCGACAGTCTAACACCAAACTGTCGACACGTGGCATATATTTATTAAATAAAATATTTGCTATTTAACTAGAGAACTGGTACGACCCTGGTCATGCTGTATTACTGTTGGAAAAATGGTGTAAAAACTATAACATTTTAATTTTGATAATATGATTAGACAATGTATTCTCCACAATTCTGAGTGACCGCTTCCCAGCGCTCAGGCAATCGGGACATACCAATGAACTCGCGATTTCGGTTTATTTCATAAATTGTATTCCCGTAGGCTGCTCTTAGTTCAGGTTCAGTAGTGTATCGAATACCTTTGTGTGGTCTCTTTATCCTCGCAAATAAATCATAGTCACATGGGTTCAAATCAGGCAAATATGGGCTATGTTTTAGGACAGTCCATTGATGTCTATTAAAGAAACTCGTAATTTCATGATGCTTGTGTGGCCGTGCATTGTCCATCAAAATGAGTGGAGAACGAATCCGTCTTTGTTTGACCGCTAGCAACAATATGTTAGTCAAAAAATGCAAAAATATTGTATGACCAACGTTTGTATTTTTGGGCAAAATTTGATAAGCAATGATTTCATTTTGATGTACTGCTGCTATCATCATTAGCTTCCAGTCCGCCATCTGCGAGCTAGTTGCTGTCGGTCTAAAATGAGAAATAACGGCACTAGCATAAATTTAATTTTATAAAAATTATATTTTTA